TTTGCATACAATTATCTCATGAATTGAGCCACTTTGTCTTAGAAGTTCGGTTGTTTCTGCTTCTTAGTTCAAAAAAAGGAACAGGTTTTGGAAATTCAAAATTTTCAATTTTTGACCTTGACCTTTTATGACCTTGACCTTCATTGGGTCAAAGGTCATTAACGTTGTCTATTAGTTTATGCTTTCATATTTGACCTCTGACGTCTACTTTCGCTTTTATAGCTGTCCAAAAACATCCAAATTCGCAACTTTGGACTGCTCTAGCACGTGACCTAATTAACCTAGAGAGTAAATTTTTTCGGTTTCCTAATGTGCTTCTCGTGTACTTTACATAGATATATAACAATCGTTTTTTTAAAGCAAAATTGAAATTCGTGATTTTTTCAAATTTGAGTTTTTTTTTTTTTACAATATTTGCGACTTTTTGAGCTTGGTATATGTATATATTATTGTGAATATGAATTCACCTATGACAAAAAAATTGGGGTGGGCGTGGCACATCCGGGTTAAATTACTAATTGTTTACATTTTGGGGCTGGGGCATAACTCGCATAGGATGCGTTTGTTCAAAAAGAGACTTTGCACACAATTACCTCATCCTTTTGGCCAGTAGGTACTAACAGCTCAGTTGTTTCAGCTTTATAGTTTCAAAAAAGGAACGGTTTTAACATTTGGATATTTTCATTTTTCAATTTTGACCTTTTTAGACTTTTGTTGACCTATATCTTTTGACCTCTATTATGTAGGAACTTGACATTTGGAACATAACGTAACATTTTGAATATTGATTAACTTATTCAAAAAAAATTGAGTTGGGCGTGGCATTTCCGGGTTTAATTACTCATTATTGACATTTTTGGCCAGGGGCATAACTCGCAAAGTATACATTTGTTCAAAATGGAACTTTTTACACAATTCCCTCATATTTTGAGCCACTTTGTCTTAGAATTTTGGTTGTTTCCGCTTCATAGTTCAAAAAAAGGAACAGGTTTTGGAAATTCAAAATTTTCAATTTTTGACCTTGACCTTTGTTGACCTTGACCTTTGTAGGATCAAACGTCATTGGCATTGGCTATCTATTTATACTTTTATATTTGCTGTCTTAAGTCAACTTCTGGTTTTATAGTCGTTAGCAATTTGAAATTTTAATGGCGTATATCTCTTGATCTTGACCTTTTTAGGCCTTCTCCTTTTCAAGATCAAAGGTCATTGACCTTGGCTATCTGCTGATACTTTCATTTGTGAGGTCTGACGTCTACTTCCGGTATTAGAATCTTCTAAAAAATAAAAAATTATCAACTTTAGACTTGTTCTTGCGCTTGACCTAATTATCGTCGAAGTTTGATTTTTTCGGGGTCTTTAGCAAATTGCTACATTTGCAAAGTCCCACTCTGTGCCACGTGTGGCTCTAGTTTGTAATTGATTTCTGTATTCAAGAAAACAATGTAAGGTTCTTGTTTTGCTTTGATTAATTTAATGGAGGCATGGGTTATTATAATAAAAAAAAAGGGGGGGAGGGGCGTTTGTTGAGGCAGGGGTTTCAATTAGAATGAATATGGTAGGTGTATATTATACCTTACGGAATTTAATCATTTTGTGGTAAAAAGGTAAACAAATAGGACAATAAAAAGAGGTTTTATGTGCTACAGGCTGTAGATATCATCATACACATTGAAAAGAAGTAGAGTAATATTGTTGTATGGACAGCTCAGTAGATATGTTACTTGTAATTAGAACAAGGTACAGGAAAGTGTTATGTAACAGATATTGTTAATTGTTGTTATTAATTATATATCATTTCATTTTGACTTCACTGATTAACAATATACTTTAGTTGTATTGGTTGCTTAGTAACCTACCAACAGACATTATTATTCTGAATTTTACCATGAAATCTGGATCAGTTAAACTGAACTCCACAATGGGACTTTAACATAAAGTTCTTGTCCATTGTAGTGTGCAACACAATAATGATTGCCTATTTCATCTGACATTTTCAAATTCCTGTTTGCAAAACACCTTTTCATGATTTGATTAATAATAATCAAGTTTGTATCTACCTGATCTATTAAATGCTCAAAAAAGTACATTAATTTGTAATCTTTATAAAAGGAATTTGCACCATTCCAATTTCAGATGTCTGTTGGACATGTAATTCAACTAATTGCAAAAGATAGGAATTCTTTTAGCATTTTTTGTGATATTAATGTTATATTATTACAGGAACCACAGACATTTAGGAAATCAGAATGATGCAAGTAGAAGCCATAAATGGCACCAATATAAATAAAGAGAAACCAGAATCCTCTTGACAAGGGCTAATAAATATTGTAATTGAAAATTAGTGTCAGATTGTGATATAACATTAGTTAATAGAAATATAAACATTATACAGTAGTATATGATATTAATATCAATATATACTGATTAATAAACTTAACTATTGATTATTATCTAGTTTACGCTGAGTGAGGTAGGGTCTGTGGAAGGAGGCTTACCTGAACATTATAAATCTGTTTGTCACCAAATCTCTGTCTTTATGATGTCAAGCTAATATCAACTTCATACCTTGACTGCAATAGCCAGAATGCATCCCAGAATGCAGCTATTGGATTGGATTGTACACCAATGTAGTCAGCCAATTAGAGCCCTGGACAGAAATGATGTAAACATAATAGTTTTGTGTTCACAAACTTTCTGTTGGGGCTTCTGATCAGCTGTACTTGCTAGTGAACATCAAATCCCTTCATTTACAAACTTCTGTGATACAAGAAAAGTGGCCATTGCAGTTTGACATTGTGAAGATGCCAAATTAGATCAATTATCTCAAAATTTGATAAAGAAACATAGGTGTACATGGGTTTTGGCTGTAGGTTTTGTACCTTCCTCATTCACAATGTTAGAATAGTCTGTGGTAATACTTTTGTGGAGTTGTTTTATGGACATATAGAATTCTCAAATGACACCCCCTGGCTATATGATATTTGAGATATTGCTGTGATAGTAACTCCAGGAGTTTAGAGGACTATTGGTATACTGTGACAATTAATTAAGTCTTTTCATTGATCGTCTTCTAAGAGGTGTTTCTGATAAGCAGAAGTGGCGGGAAAACTTTTTTATTTGGAATCATAAAATAAAATCTGTAAAAAGTCATGATTTTTTTGGATTTTCCAAGTAGTATTTATGAAGTCACTAGAGTGTAGAACTAAAGTCATAAAAAGTTCATTGAGTTGGCCTTCATGATTCTATACCTACTATATATTCATTAATAATATTAATTACATTGTTCATATATATTACTATACAGCCTGATATACTCATAGTTATTAATTTATTCATCTTGTACTATTGTCATAGAAACATATATAAGTAAAATAAAAGCTTCAGATCAAAGTGGGACAAGCAGAGCTTATTCTAATGTCTACATTTCAAGACAAGTTCAGAATGTTTGTTAAAAGAGTTGTGCTTTAGTGATGGAAAGCTATGTAACTTTATCATAATAATTCAGAATCCAAGTTATGGTGATATATACTGAAAGGTCATAAAGCATTAATAATTGATTTGTTTACAAGTTTTATTGACCTTGATATGAGCTACTTAAATAAAATATATAATTGATAAGTGTTAAGTATGAATATAATACTAATTGAGCTGAGTATTGTCTAGAGAGTTGATTATTGTATCCTGAATATAAACCTGAACTCTTTCAACTCTAGCAGCCAGTTTACAGACCACATAATAACGCAATATGTGACGTCCTAGAATGTTTTCAATCAGACGTCTGTGGTTCCTGCAATTCCAATTTAATCTAAGCGTTTAATGACGTCACTAATTGCAAAGGGCCTTATGTGATTAAGCATATTTTGTGATTTAGTGAAATTGTAGGAACTGCAGACATCTGATTGAAAATTGTAATGGTGCAAATTGATGCTATCAGTATCCCCTACAAAATCTAGAATATATCTTTACAATCCCTTTATTGTCTTTATAGATTGTCTTGCTGGGTATTATCAAGGGGGTTATATAACTTATGTTGACCTGAAGATACATACTATTTATGGGATGTTTCCTATCAGTCTCCTATAGATTTTCTCACTAACATTATGATGGCTTGTATGATGGAAATGAATTTTCCCAGATGGCATAATCAAAATTTCCCTGTGTCATTTAATATTATTAATCTACTCATGTGATTCATGTGATATATAGATCTACATTTTATTTACATCTATGTATGTTCTAGTAATATTAAAACAGAACCAGTTTCACGCTAAGTGATCTTCATACAACTGACCTATTTCAGCCTGTGTCCACACTGAAGTTCTAAGTATGTTCTATGTATGAAACTCTGAGTAACAACTTGCTTTTTGAGGTTGTGTTATAAAAAAGGCCTATTTCTGTTCTATAAGATGTAATGAATGATAGGATTACTATGTACACTAGATATTTTGAAACAGGGTTTGATTTTTTTCAATATTAAGAAATGGGAAGACAAAAAATAAAAAACATTCCGTCTCGCAAGGTCTCGAAAAACAATGTGTTTTCTTGGAGCACCAGTGACTTGTGTGAGTAAGATGCTTGCTCACCAACCTGAAGATTCAGGGTTCAATCCCGGCATAAATCAAGATTTATCAATGATGCCGGTCAGATTGGCTGACATGGAAAAAGACAATAAAACGAAGCCCTGTGTGCTATAGACAGTGCATATAAAAGATAACTCGACAGTTGGAAATAAAAAATTCTGGCAAAGTCTCACAAACATCACACTGCTTGGAGTTTTTTAAAAAGTTGGAAGGAAATCTCAATTTCACAAGTTTTTCTTTGATTGATATGTTATCCATTTCAAGGTGATAATATGCAAGGTTAGTTTTTGGCCTTCTGACAGCAGTGATTTAGTCATGTGTTACTGATATTAAACCAGCCTGATTACCTATCATATGACAATTTGTTATCTACATGTGATTAGGGCACACTTTGACTCATTGATATGTTGAAATATCTAATTAATGAGTTGTGTCTATTTATTGTGATTATTGTGTAGTGTTACCTTATAATGAGTCAATATCAGAAATTTACACAAGAGCAAGGTATTTTTCTGACAATATTTGACTTTTAAAGCTTATATGTTTTCATACTTTTTTCTTGAAAATAATATAAATTTTCTGATTAGAAACCACAGTTGATTTTTTTGCCAAAATTTAAGATAAAAAGTATTTCAAAATGTCAAATCTCAATGGTGAAGGAATTTCTACAGCAGGTTCATCCTCTCAAGATGTTAATTTAGACAGACATACTCGAAATGATTATGGACCTTATGGCAAAATGCAACCCTTTACTTCAACTATTGTGGACATGGATGGTAAGTTATCTGCCCTTTTTACAACAATTACTACCAGACCAGAAGCACTGGCAGCTTCAGCCTCATTCAACTTGGGGTACAAATAGGAAACAGACTGACTTAATGAGGGGACATCAGGCTGTGGTATGAGGTACCATAGTCGCAAACCTCTCATCTGAGGATTAATTAATTTTAAGAAAAATTGAATTTTTTGGGGCATTCTGAAATATATTTGAGGCAAAATTAAAGATCATATTTTTAAATTCATCAAAATAAAATGAGGGTACAATTGGAGGTGCAAACCATTTTACTAGGGGAACAAACCAATGCCTCTGCCACCACTACTGTACTGATGTAACTTGTGTTGAACCTAGCTTTTTTAACAGAAGTGCCATCAAATGAAATCTTCTGTATAATACATTAAGATATTTTTAGCTATTATCCTTGTGAACTGTCATCAAAGAAGTGGATTGAGTATTAGTCATTTAGAAAATGACCTTTTTAAAAGGACATTATTGATTGGATTGGAATTGGAAGGAAAAGAATCTAAAAAGTGAATCTGATGATCTGATGTATAATGTTAGTCATGAATTATCATTAATAGAAAAGGTAAATGTCAGATCTAATTCTTTAACGCCTTTTACAATACAAAATTTTTCTACATGATGTAATCGGTTGAGTATTCTGAAAACCGTTAACTCTATAAATTAATGTAATGTAAATGTTAACTGTTTCGAGAATGCTTTGCTGCACATATCTCACAAGCCACCTTCACCTTTTCCCACAGAATTTCGTTATTATTTAGTGAAATTGTTGATTACATCTAGATGTCTTCGATTACATCATGGTGACTACAAGGGTTAATTTTAACTTTTTCAAGAAGAGTTACACTGATAACCGTGCCGAGAACGGTTTGCATTTACATTATAACTGAAGAACCGTTTTCAGACTAGAGTTTAATGTAATATATATGGGCACATTTTATCGCGGTCTGGACCGATAACGGAACGTTTTATAGCAGCCTGGTCTGGACCGATAACAGAACGTTTTATAGCGGCCTGGTCTGGACCGATAACGGAACGTTTTATAGCGGCCTGGTCTGGACCGATAACGGAACGTTTTGATCGTCAATAGAATTTTGAAAAAATTATTCAGGCCACCAGATAAGCATCAACTTTTTGGGAATGTTGGAAACAGGACCATCCTATAAACATTTAAAATTCAAACAGATTGTTTTATATAGATTTTCAAAGCTAACTGCCTTCTGAATATCTGATAGGCCAATTCTGAGTACTGTATATATACAACTATTTTACTAGTTACTAGTTTGGTATTTACTTTAATGGTTAAATTAATGTTTGATATAAATATGATTGAATTCCATTCAAAGGCAGAAGGCTGAATCTTGCACCTTGCATGGTGCCCCAGCATTCCTTTGCAGATTTTAAGAGGCCACTAGTTATGGTGGGGGTCAGGAAGGCCTCCTGGAAAATTTTATAATGTGGTGAGCCGGAGAATACATCTAACACGATTTTGGAAGTGAAAGTAGAATAAATTTGTTCATTTTTTATGGTTCACTACGTGAATGATGAATAAACTCAGATTAACAATCTAGTTTAAATACAGTCAATCTGACAGTGAAGTTATTTGAACAACATTTATTGATCAGAGAAAAAAAACATAAAATTAGGATTTGGAAATTGTGTTCCGCAAGTATCGTCACTGATCTTCATCTTGTCAATTGATCGATTGATATTACACTGGCTTCATTTTAATCTAAAAATAGACTAGTAATCATGGTATGATATTACGCATGGTTACAAATCTAATGGCCGCCTGTCCTTACATCAACTGATAGACATTCACTTTTATTGCTGTCTACAAATGGAACAAATTGAATTAATTTCCAATATTTTCTTACATTACTATATCTATCAAATTTGGTGTTATTGAAAATTATTTAAAACTGCCTGAAATGAAATGATGAAACTGAATTTAGAACTGATGTTAAGTTTGAATGAGATTTTGGAAATATTTTTCATCATTGTAAACTGCACCAAATTAAACTGAATTGTATAAAACACTTTAATTTGAATTGAAATAAACAAATTGAAAAGAGGTTTTCTAAAATTTTTGGTGTAGTGGGGAAACTGAAAGCATCAATTTACACCATTCCAATTTTCAATCAAGACGTCTGTGGTTCCTGCGATTCCACCAAAACTAAGTGTTTGATGACATCACTAATCATGGAGGGCCTTATGTGATAAATCATATTTTAAGATTAGTGACATCATTGATCGTTGAAAACCTCTTTACAATCCCTTTAAATCCATTTTGATATTTAATACTCAAAACCTGTTCAACAAGGATAGTACACACCTTCATGTAGCCTACTTATTCTGACAAAGCGTAACTCTTTTGTACATCACTGGATCAATCTGGAAAATCAAACTGAATGCTGTTCTGCTTGTTTAAGTTCAAGAGACAAACAAGATTAGCATCTTCTGCTCCCTGAAACTAAAATCATGGTTCATAATTTTGAGAATTGATTTTTGTTGAGATAAAATGGTGCTACTTGAACAGAAATTCAATTTTATTTTTTAGTTTGTATGAATGAATCTGATTGAAGAAATCGCTTTTTATTATATGTTCTTTTGACAGCAATTCCAATGTCCTTTGACTTCATTCTTAATAGGTGAGGTGCGGACAACTACCATTTTTACCAGCTTAGATTTTTAAGCGAGGTTGATACAAGCTGGACAAATCCGGCCTTAATCATTTTTCAGACGAGAAATGCGTATGAAATATCAGCACATTTTAGGGCCAGACACAAAATGTGCCGATATCCCATTCATACATCTGAGGAACAGTAAGGGCCAGATTTGTTGTGCTAGGTTTGTAACAGGGACCTTAAGTATTAAAAGTAAAGGTATATATCTCATCTGATAAAAGTCTGAAATTGCTAGCCAGTGTTTTTTGCCTGTATAACTATTTTGGTTCGAGACAAGAGCAGTTATTAAGATTTATCTCCATTGTTTAAATTTTCTTGCTAGATTTTAGGAAATAAATTCTGGAAGAAAAGAACAATATGGAACAAAATATCTCTTTAAGTCAATATTTTTTGTCGTCTGCTAGGTTTTATAAATGTCAACAGAGAAAAGAATTGAATTAATTTACCATCAAGTAAACAGTAATTTCCTTCAATCTTTGAAACCAGTATTATAGTTCTATTTATTTGTATAGTTTAGACTGTAATCAGGAAAATCAGATTACAGTCAGATCAATAGATGTTGTAAAGTCACATTTAAAGAGCTATAGTATTTTGATCTTTACAATTGGTAAAGTTAGATAAAAAAGAAAAGTTGTCCTGAATTGTCCTGAAGATCTGAATTATTATATTATGAAATGCTGTTCTAATCTATCTCTTTGGGATGCGGTACAGGAGAAACCCACCCTGTTTGCATTAGGCTATTCAATATAATGATGCCTTGATAGTTGAAATTGTAAAAGAAGTAGTTATACTGAAGAGTGGAGTATCTTTTCTAGTCCATTAAAGGGGAAATTTGCAAAATTTTCATTATTAAAAGGTTGTAAATATACTTGAAAATACATGCTGTATGTACTGTTTACTTGATTCTGTTCATTTGTATTATGTGATTATACTTGTTACTGTATGTATTGCCTTTGACAAGAAATGGTGTGAAATGTTGCAAATTATATATATATATTATCTATGTATCAACCTGAATTTGTTTAAAAGTGTTAATAAAACCACTGAAGGAACTAGTTGTTAAATAGGCAATTAAAACTAATTTTGTAGTCGGGCATGAACAAATTAATATGTTTAGGTGAAAGTGATATATTTCTCTATAATTTGGTTTTTATCTTTATCTTTCTTAACTCTGTACATTTGTTTTTCAAGAAGAATATCAAACTCAAATAGGTTTTAGTATTTAAGATTTAGAGACGTGTTTGTCTAGATTTTGGTACATAATTTTCAAAGCATTTAACATTCCAAACCTACTAAAAAATCATACTAGACTATAATGTAAATTCTATATAATTTCAGGTAGTTCCCAGAGTGAAGGTGGCAGTATTGGTTGTTGTGGATATATTTTATATGCTTTCTCCTGTATAATAATTATTTTAACATTCCCATTTTCATTATGCTTCACAATCAAGGTAAGATTACTTTAAAAATAACAGATATTTCAATGTGACAATGGGGTATCACTTGATTGGAGAATTCTAAACAGACTCTGTCTTTTCCAATTCTGTCTCCTATTTATTTCTCTCTCTGTCTGCCTGCACCTATTATTTTTTGCAACACACTTGAAACGCGTTCTGAACTGTGTTTCAACTTGTTTTATTGAATGTTCTGTTGGTTCATACTTATAATCATAATCATATCTCCTGGGACTTCATTCTCCATAAATTCCGATTTTAATAAATAAAATAATCTGGTTGGATAACAAAACTAAATTTAAAAGCAATTTTATTGATTCACAAATCAGATGACTGGTGCTGGAACTAAAATCATCCTCAGTTAAGTTTTCAAGAATGAGGCCCCAGATCTTAAATTGACCTTGATTCAATAAAGGAAGAATATTGGGGAAATCAAACTTGAATGTGGCATATGTTAAAATGATTAGTATGTATTGGCATTTTAGATACTAAACTACCAAGAGAGAGAGAGCGAGAGATAGTTCTGAAATAATCTCTGTTTACTGGGTTATATTTTAATATTAAACCAATATTATCTATCTTGGATTGGCGCCAATATGGTAACAGGTTACACAGCTTCAGATGATGAATTATTTTTTCCATTACATATAGAACTTTTGATTGATAGTAGTAGACAACATTATTTCAGTCAGAGCTAGACAGTTACATTGAATGTTGTTTAGTGTTAACAGTATACTACCTCTTAGGATGACCAAGAAATTTAAATTTTTAAACTTGGTTAAAATGAGTCTTTGTTTATCAGTGGACTTACCTGGTATCAAATCTAATAAACAGAATCTCTCTATAATCTAATAAATCCATAAAACTAAGTAATAATTCATTCAACTAAGTAATTTTGAAACATGCTTAGTGTTTTTCAATAATATTTTAGTTTAATGGATATATTCTTTAGTCATGTCGCCTGGTAAGTCCAACTGATGAATATATATGCTTGTTGACCAAGTTTGAGATTTTTTTTTTTTTAATTTAATGTCTATTCAAGAGGTAGTATTTCTTTTAAGACTCAGTTTTTTGGATACATTCCTTAGTTCACATGAATCTTAAGATTTTTAGCAGAGATTCCAAATTGATTGAAATGTGAATATTGATATTTCATTTCTTGTTTTTGCTCAAGCTCAGCTAAGATTTTGCTCATATTCATAATGTCACTCGCATCATGCAGAGATAAATTTTGAAGATTAATATGATAATGCCAGAAACAATGTGAATAGCTTGATATTTGATTTGTCTTTGATACCATCAGTTAGGCACCTGTAATAATTGCTTCAAATTTGAGTAAAATCTCAGCCATGTATGAAAATATCGAAATTAAAGTTTTTAGTTGAAACTTTGTATGTTAATAACCTAATGCTTATAACCATTAAATGTTAAAAGATGATATATTAAACTTTTTCTTCATTCAGTCCATTGGGATTTAAATCGAACGCCGACCATATTATTTCAGTAGAGTTTAGCGATTCTTTATTGGTTATCATATAAAATATCTAAATGCACTCAGGGGTTTTGATATATTAATTTACCTCAGTCTGTACTTCCATGTGAAAAATTATCTTGATAAAATATATAAGTGAACCTGACATTATCTGTAATGGCAAGTAACATTAATAGCACAGTTTTCATGAGTTAACTGATTAAAATACTATGCTACAAGAGTCAGGCTGTTTATAACTATAATGGAATGAAAATGTACTGTAAATTATTTTAAGGGACAGGTTTACTATTCGTTTGATCAATAGTACCTAAGTATCAGAAAGAGAAATTTTTAGTTTTGCTAATCAGTATTAGTGTTCACAGCTCACTATCCTAATTTGAGCTTTCAAATCCATGTATGTCCACAATTATCTGCATTAAAATTTAAACGATGACTCGTTTTTTCTTGGAACTATGAAAGAGAAATTCCTAATTTGAGGGAATTTTGAAGTTTTTTGCGATTTTCGCCAATTTTATTCTTCAATTTGCATATATATTCAGTTCAAAAATCAAATCCTGAAAATAGTTTTTAAAGGGACACACTACAATGTGCTTGATTCACACAATTCCAGTAATGTTTTCTAGTTATTACAGTTGATTTATAGCCAAAATAGTCTAAATTGTGAATGCAATTGAGACTAATATTTGGATGTTTATCCTCCTTATAATGTCAATCTTATATTTCAGGTGGTCCAAGAATATGAAAGAGCTGTCATGTTTAGGTTGGGTCGGTTGTTAGCGGGTGGTGCACGAGGACCAGGTAGGTTTTTGATTGTCTTATCTGCGACAAGCAAAGTCTGTGGCTGATTTTTGACATCTTGGATGAGTTATATACTTATTTGTTGAGAACTTGATCTCCATTCTTTGATGAAAAATCTGGTTTGATTTTTACTAATTTTCTATCAATTTTTTAAGAATATTGAAATTGCATTTTTTACTTTGATGTATTTAAAGAAATAATTTGATTAAAGGAAGGAAGTTCAAGGAAAACCATGGTCTATTATCAGCAATTTGTTCCATACTTGGATAACTTAACATGAAAGCCAAATAGAATCTTGACATAAAGTAGGTGGAGCTTAGCTATAGTACAACATATCCATTTTGATGTTATTCCATGGCTGAAGCTCCGCACTCTTTTTGAAACGTATCATGACTTTTACAAGCTTCCATTTTATTAGATAAAACTGTAATGTGATTAATATCTAACAGATTCGTTTGTTTAAACATGTTAACCATGGCATATATTCTTCTTCTTATCCTTTTTTTCAAGTTAACAGATTTGATCAAATACCTCCAGTCTCCAATCTGTTTCTATTCTAGGTCTGTTTTTCATTATACCATGTATTGACTCCTATACTAAAGTAGATCTGAGAACAGTTTCATTTGATGTGCCACCACAAGAGGTAAGTTATATTTTATAGTCTGTAGCCTAGAATATCCCCTCTTAAAATACTAAAGATTAAATTTAACCAAAGTGGTTTTTATACGCCGAATAATTGCCTTCTAAAGTTTTCAAGAACTAGCGCAATAACTCAAAATCAATATTATTCAGTATCGCCCTAAAGAGTTCAAAAGAAGTTGTATGACTGAAGGTTGAATATTTCATACTAATGATTGTTACTGTACTGCTAAATATTTTTATTCAAAATCAAAGCTGCCAGTGGGCGTATATTACCTTGACTGGCAAGCTATTTTTTTCTAACATATAGAAAGATAGTCTTGCGAAGCAAGGTGACATATGCCCACTAGCAGATTTGATTGCATTTACAAATCATTGTTTGTAGCCTGTATAGTGAGCACGAGCCATGTGTGAACAGACAGAGGGATGCCAAAAACATAAAAATCAAAATAATCCAAAAAGAATTGTTGCTTTAAGAGTGAGCAAAAGTTGCACTATATGGCTAACAGAGGGAATATACTAAGTTGAAAACAACATTGTAGTGAAAAATTTATCAGATCATCCTGAAAATCAATAGGGATCATCTGCATAATAACACAAAATAAAAAACCAAAAGAATCCATAAAGAATTATAGGCCTGTAGAGTGAGCACCAGATGTATAATATAGCTAATAGAGTGAAAACACTAAGTCACACACAACATTATCAGATCATCACATAAATCGATAGGGATTATCTTCATAATGACACTGACCTACAAAATAAAATCAAAAGAATCTGTAAAGAATTGTTGCCTGCAGAGTGAACATGAGATGTACAATATAGCTAATAGAGTGAAAACACTAAGTCACACACAACATTATCGGATTATCTTCATAATGACACTGACCTACAAAATAAAAATTGAAAGAATCTGTAAAGAATTGTAGAGTGAGCATGAGCCAAATGTGAACGGACCAATGGACAGCCAGGGTGATTACAATATACGCCCAAAATATATTTGTATTGTATAATGCTTAGTAAAAACATTAAGATTCAAGAACCTTCAACAAGAAGATTAACTAACTAAACTGTAGGAGACTACATACAGCTATTTAGATTAATCAATGTAATTATTATTCAGGTATTAACAAGAGATTCTGTAACTGTAGCAGTAGATGCTGTAGTATACTATCGTGTCCAGAATGCTACCATGTCCATAACCAATGTTGAAGATGCCAATAGGTCAACTAGATTACTTGCTGCCACCACCCTCAGAAATGTGCTTGGTACAAAAAATTTGGCTGAAATTCTTTCAGAAAGAGAAGCTATCAGCCATAATATGCAGGTGATTATTTTTTTTATTATAACATAAAATATAAAGATAAAAAACAATCTATTATCTGTCAATCATTATAGATTAAACTCATAATATAGGCTAAGTAGAAAATTATAAAAAGATGAACTATATTTTAATAGGTGGGTTTTTTTCTAGAATACAGACAGTTTTTAATAGCCCAACGAATAAAAAAAAAACTGTCAAAATGATTAACTTAAGTGTTAAGGAATCATTTAGTGTTGCAATTTGTTCAAATAGCTCTGAATTAGAGCTGAGCATTATACTGGTATCAAGATATAATAATAATAAAATCTTTATTAGGGTGTAGGAATTTATATCATTAGAAATATTATCTGATATTGTTTTTGTTACACTTAAAAATTGTATTTTGTTGATATTTACCCATATTATATGATATATTGATATCAACTTGTACCAATATTGCCCAGCCCTACCCTGAATATTTTGGAAATTCACCAATACAGTTCACTATCACATATATATCTAGAACATGATTATGTACATCTAAATTTTATAACTTGGATTTTGTCAGATCTATCTGGCCTAGTTTCTTTAAATTTCAATCTGTGAAAATGATCATACAATATTACCTGTATAGCATCTTATCTTAAAGTTATCATATACCGGTAACCTTAAACTAATTAGAGTTTTATAATTATAACATAAAAACATTTGAGATTGAAATAGATTTGTTAAATATAGGATGTAATATTAAGATTCAGTATCAAGATTAAAGAAACTAGATTTACAGATCAATTACTCTGTTAAAGGATCACTATCTAGAATTATCAAGATAAAAAATAGAACCAGTTTACTCATTTCAATATAAATCAATATTAAATCTGATGTAAAGAAAAAATGTGAAAAATATATTTTGAACTCAAGTCAAATTTAATTTCCATTATGTAAGCCTTTTTTTCTATCAGGCATAATCCAAGAAACATTTTACTTGTTAAATTCAGAATTGTATAATTTCTGGACTTTACACATAAAGACCTATAATGTCCTGAAATATAAATATGACCATCATCAGCTCTATCTGATTTGTTGTAATATGAGCAAAATAGCTACTTCTCAATCTTATTGGAATCATAAAGAGGTTTTCTAAATTTTGTACATGTATCAAGGACACTGATAGCCTCAATTTACATTTCAATTTTCGATCAGATGTCCATGGTTCCTGCAATCCCACTTATACTAAGGGCCATATGCAGCGCTCGTACTTTACCTAAACTTTGACCAAAGTTAGACTTTAGGTATGCACCGGTCGATCTTTACGAAAGTCGTGCTTAAATTTGACTATCAAATGTAGAAAATGAAAGCCGTAATCCTAACTTTGTAAAGTTCGACTTTAGCCAAAGTTCAACTTTAGTCAAGGTAAGAGCGCTGCATACGGCACTTAGTGTTTTATGATGTCACTTATCGCCATATAACATGCTTAATCACATAATATTAATTTTAATTTAATTCACTACATCATATATATAAAACACCAGTCAACATGACACTCCCATATAAACAGTGTCTCTAGCGTCTCTAGTTACTCATCAACCTCCTGTTGTCTGCATCCACTTCCGTGTCACCAATATTGTGGTTCGGTTTGACTAAACACCATAATTAACTATCAAACATCATATTGCAGGGTCAACACATAGATAATGCCCTTTGCGATTAGTCACGTCATCAAACAATTAGTTTAAGTGAAATTTCAGAAACCACAGACATATAGAAAACCTCTTTACAATTCCTTTAAAAATAGTAGCATTTAACTTCAGATATTTTACTTCATCTCTGGTATCTTTATTATCATAAAAGATATGTTAATTTTAAATTTAATGTTTCTATCAAATTCCTATAGTTCACCTGCTGTCTGAGTTCTGAAGCTGTAAGCAAATAAAAACTCAAAATTATAGAAAATTATAGACCCAAACTTTGATGACTTTCATAGTTTTCACTCTTACCTTTAAACCATGAATCAATAGAATTGATTTAATCAAGAATATTGTAAGACTCTATGAAAAGTGGTCCTCACTCGAACTTCAGATGAAAGGTCAGCGTCTATTACTGGTGAAAATTTACTTTACCTCTTTCTGTGGGATTGTAAAGAGGTTTTCTAAACTTTTATTGCATATCAGGGACAATGTTAAGATCTATTTGTACTACATGTATTCCAGTTTTTAGTCAGACATCTTTAGTTAATAAAATTCTAAAATTTTTAAAATTCCATCTGACCAAATATTGGAATAATGCAAATAGAAATTGCCATGAAACACATACAAAAAACTAGAAAACCTTTTTACAATCCCTTTAACTTGTCAAAGATTTGACAAAAACAACCCAGCAATAGACACATAAATTTTGTGTTTGATAACATTTTAAACTTCCCAAAGCACTTCTTGCACTGGCACAAATGTAGAAAACTTGTACTATGCTACTTACAGTCATGTTTAGATGAATGCACAGGTCCCTGGGGTATTAGAGTTGAGAGGGTAGAGATGTAAGTAATGGGTGACGGCATGACACTTATACATCTATTGCATGGTTGTAATATCTTAATAAAACCATAACTTATTATAGCCCATTTTGATTTTTGTGTGAATTTTTGTAGGGCCATTTTGAGTTGTAGATAGCCTCTATACTAACATAAAAATCATTGTAATCACATTTTAAAATTTGGAAAGAATCACTCTTTGATACAAGAAAACAAAATTGAAAGCCATCAGAGATTGGGTGGGATATAGAAACACTAGAGGCTGTCAAATTGCTCTACTTTTGGTTTCAATATCCCACAATTCCTTATTTTATGATTTTATAATTTTATTTTACAAGTTTTACATGACACGCTTTGATTGGTTAGAAATACTATCTTTTGTACAGACCTTTGATAAAAAACCTTGTTAAATTATGATGTAGACACAAAATATCAGAAGACAAAAGAGATACGAAATTGAAATCTGATTTTTATCTGAGTACAGTCTAATCTTTCAAATTGTAGAAAAAGTAGTATTGCTAGCCACTCTAAGAGATGGTGTTAGTAGTGTCAGGGATATAGAGAGAGAAAAAGAGGGTGAGGGAAGGATGAATAAATCTTATGAACACTATCATTATACTCTAGAACAGAATATATTAACATTGACTCCTGCATTACATGTCTGTAGCATCATCAGCATGTTGTTATCTAGCTTTGTAGAAGTTTTGCTGATTCTGTTTTTTGTGTTTTTTTTATATAGTCCTCATTAGATGAAGCTACTGATCCTTGGGGTGTTAAAGTGGAACGTGTTGAAGTGTAAGTATTGTATTTATATTATCTTATAGTTATTTAGACCTGGATTATCCAGGTCTGTGATATGAACAAATGTGAATCAAGGGTATTAAGAGTTGATGTGACAATAGATCTGCTCCTGAGAAGAAAAAGAAAAGCCTATCAAATGTTTTTAGCCATAAAGTAGACCTTTAGATTCTATCAGGAAACAGCTTTTGTGCACAACCTATTTTTGTTATGAGGATTTACCATGCCTAAATGTCATGGTTTGAAGAGTTATGTTCACTCTTAACCGGCATTTTTGTCTGAGATTTTGGTACATGTAGAGCTAACATTATGTTCATAAGAGTTGTCATGTTCCTGTTACAGCGGTAGAATGATTGTCTACAAGTTTCACATTGATCTTTGATTGAGAAGCGTGTTTTCAATGATTCAATACAGGCAGCCATTTCAATGACCATCCTTTTACTTCTAATATTACCAGATTCCTGATTGGATATATTGAATTATGTTGTATGGTCTGCCAAGGGAGGTTATTAGTCTCTAATGACGAGAATATGGTATTGTTCAAGCAACGGTTAGATGTTGATAATCATCTTATCGTTGCTGAAAGAACATGAATATCCTCCTAGATTTTTGATTTTTTGAAATCTTGAAAGTATCAGGCAAAATAACAACCATGTCTGATGCTGCCAATCTTAATTGAAGTAAACAAGACATTCATGTAGTTTAAAGAGCTGATTTAAACTAATTTGAAATGTTATTAGCCATCTGGTTTCTCTCTATCAATTCTATGTTGTTTATATAATTAGATCTGTTTATAAACAATGTAGCTTATTATTCGGCTTATTATGTAGTTATGTTTATATTATATGCATGTAAAGTTTATTAACTTGGTATAGATAGATATTTTTATGTCTTTATATTCTGCAAATTGCATCAAATAAAACTACCTGGCCCTGGCTGGGGACACAAACCTTTTCTTCATACTTAGCTGAGATTTTACTTAAATTTGAAACAGCTATTACAGGTCCATAACTGACTGAAAAATAATATATCAGTATATTCCTTAAGACACAATATTTCTAGCATTATCATATAATCTTCAAATTTTACTTTCACTTGATGGCATCAAGTTGATGCATATGAGTAACTATAACTAAGCTGAACATGAGAAACTTTTTGTGACCTTAGGGCCTTGTTTCAGGTAAATCACATCAAGATAGGACAAACACTTGTTAAACGCCCACATTATAATGTGGTCGTATATTGTCGTCTCCCCTGTCTCTGTCCGTTGATTCACATTTGACTACCATTTTCAACAGATTTTAATGAAATTTTATGTCATCATTTATATTGATGAGATCTTAGAAAAGTTCGAATTTGACAAACTTTCGATGAACGCTTTTTGAGTTATTGCCCTTGACTTAGAAAAAACGCTTCAAAAATTGTTTGTGAACACAATGGAGACTACAGTTTTCATCCAATGTAAATGAAATATGATGTGAATAAGTATAATGATGAGATCTTTGACAAGTTAGAATATGACTTTTTTTTCAACGAATGGTTTTTGTGTTATTGCCTTAGTAAAAACGTGTTTGTGAACACTATACAGACAACAGTTTTCATCCAATTTAAAAGAAATTATTTATGATCATTTATATTGATGAGATCTAGGACAAGTTTGAATTTGAATTTGAATTGTTGCCCTTGACAAACGCATCAAAATTTGTTGGCTGGTTAACGTGATAGAGGTGACAGTATATCTTGCACAAATTAGATTTTTGGTACGACTTGACACAGATATGACACAGGAAAGTGGGCGTATGCTGCTAGGCAAATACTTGTTTTATATTTAAACGAATATGATTATCTCATTATTAAATTTATCAGCCGAGTTTGATATAGAAGAGGCTTATTTTCTACCAGAGGCGTATTTTCTTTTAATATATATGATTTTTTTTTGTATTACAGTAAAGATGTACGTTTACCTGTACAGTTACAGAGAGCTATGGCTGCTGAAGCAGAGGCTGCCAGAGAAGCAAGAGCTAAGGTAAGTATTTCCTTGGATCATGAAAACTACAGTGTATAGCGTCCTAATGCAAACAAGACTAAAGTTTTACTGCTAGAAAAGACTGTTTTAAGATAAAATTTAGGAATCGTTTCAATTTGTCCATTACAGGTAATTGCTGCAGAAGGAGAGCAGAAAGCTTCAAGAGCTTTAAAAGAGGCTGCTGATGTCATGGCTGAATCCCCTGCCGCTCTCCAATTACGTTATCTTCAAACACTCAACTCTATATCAGCCGAGAAAAATTCAACCATCATCTTCCCCTTGCCTATTGACTTGCTTAATGGATTCTTAAACAAACCTGAAAAAACCTCATTTTAAGAACACTTTAGGCAGTCAGATTTCCTAGACTAGATTTGATTGGCTCATTTTTCAAAGCTCATTAAAATTTTAACCAATCAGACAATATCAATTATTTGTTTATAATAGTATATTTACTGAACTAACAGAATTCAATATTTTGACCTATGTTTTGATTTTGTATTTGGTAAAGTTTATTGACAATATTGTTAAATGACAAGAACAATTGTAATCCCTTTTTTATACACTGGTAATTAATTATTATTATACATGTATATCTTGAAGCCTCTTGAATTTGGTCTATGGATCTCCAAAGCTGTGCTGTATTAAGCAGTGTCAACCTTGCCTTAAAATTCATGCATAATAAGCACCTTGTATAAAGTGAAAAACAACAATATGAGTTTTATGTTCAGAGAAGTTAATAGATTGGCTGGGTTGTTGTAATATGTAAGACACAGATTTGGTACATCAAATTCAAGAGAAATTTCATTACCTGTTTTGAGAATATGGTAAATAACTTCAAATCCTTATTAACAGTTTTCAATCTATATTTTAGATAGCACAGATTTGAGTACAAATTTTGATTTAAAAAAGGGTTTTTGAGAATTTTCTTGAATATAATGTATTTCTTAATATATGTTTAAAGTGAAGAATTGATGATGTATTTATTATAAACCGTATTCTGTTTTCTCTGTAAAAAATACTTCTTGCCTTTTTTAATCAGTTGGACATTTTTATATATAGGGCTGACCTTCATTGTGTATATCAATTGTACATTAATTTAAAAATGTTGTTATTTGTATATTAACTGCAAAACAATCTTATCTTTTTGAACAAGAACATTTCAAGTTATACATGTATTTGTATGTAGAGATACATGAAACCACAAATTAAACTTGATAGACCTTTTACTGGACCAATGTCTCAAAAATCATGTCAGCCCCGAAAGCATGTACAATGGGAAATGAGATAGTTTGTAAACTGTTCAGTTATATCAATCTGCTAAAAGTAAGGTTTATGCTACATGTGTATGTGATATAGAAGGTATATTAAACTTGTAGTGTTTATATATATGAGGAACATCTGCAAGAGAACCATGATTAAGACTAGAACAAAATTGTAATATTCCTGACTTTTGATATTATCTGCTTTTATATATATAAATATACTGTATAAACTCAAACTAAACTTTTTATAGTAAGTGTCAAGTTAAAATTTTATTTTTCATTCAAGCCAACTGAGATTTCTTGCTTAAAACAATCAAACAATACATAATTTTTAGATTCATAAGACATGCAACAGTAAAGTGAAAATTATTCTTTAAGGACCTCAATTTATGTAGATTTTGTTGAATACATTGGAAACATAAATAAGTATAATATTGCCTGTATGTTTAATTTTGAACTGATCTGGCTACAAGTATTTGATAGCCAATAATTAAAACTTGGTGTGTGGGTGTGAAATGCCAAAAGATCATGACAAGCATCCAGTTGAACACTTTTGTTCTGGGGGTTTCACCAAAACTTAAGAAATAAAATCCAGATATTTAGAAATACAGTAATCTGATTGGATCAATTTTAGTGATTGACCAATCAGATGATTGGAGCACTAAAATCATCTTAATATTTATGTTTTTAAGAATAAGGCCTTGTCAAGGAAAAATGGCTGATTCATTGAATCAGTTTTCTACATCAAGGTACAAGTTGGTGTGGACAGGATTTTTGTCACAAGATAATAAAATTACACTGAAAAGGGGATATTTTTTGGCTGATTGAAAACTAGAATGATGAAAATAAAATGAAGCATGACAATTCTTAAAAAATGACTAATTTTTTTTTCAGTTTGTAAATATATTACATATATATATATTATATATAAAAATTTGAATGTTTTTTATTAATATATTATATATACCGTTTAATCATGATCAAATTTTACACAATTACAACAATTTCTTGAAAAATCAGAATAACAAGACTTTATTTTTCATATATTCACAATACAAAATTCTTTAGTAACTGTTGATTATCTCAAATGACATTTATGTAGGATATTACTGGTATTTTTTTTCTTTAAATGCAAAATTCTACATATAATGTATGCTCAATGAATGGAATTCATATTTCTGTTATATTTTTATTTTCTTATTTATTGTAACATGTTTTCTTGTAACTAGTATTCTAAATAAATCATTTGTAAAAAATTAGATTTCCACCATAATATTCTACAATCCAGGACACAATGTCTACAAGTCCTTTATTTTTCAA